CCCCCCTCCCAAAAACATACATGTACATGTACATGTACGTACAGTTCATGGAGCATTATTTAATGCTAGACCTTAAAAAAAGTATGTAAATCATAGCTGGAAATAACATTTAAAGCCTGTCTGCACTAGTTTGGCCAGGAGGGATTAGACCTCCCTGCATGGTCACTGACAGGTGGTTATTTCATCAAATCAGCTGTCACTTAACATAAGAAAAAGGTGATCATGGAGGACCAACAGGTACCGCTTATGCATTGTTTGCTACATAGAGGGCGCAAGTACAGTGCAATCCCGCTTTAACATGTTTGCAGTGCATGAAAGTTTATGAACAACAAAATCCTGCTTTGATTTGGCAGCACGCTTCCTGATTTCGGAAGAAGAAGGATATCCTTTCACAGTATCCACATTTTATTATTCAACTTGATGGAGTAATCCCTTTGGTACATACATGTAAGGCCTGTCCTCATCAGCTCGAGATTGCCAAATAGCCCGCTATTTCTGATTTGGGAAATAATCTTGAAGTTACAAATCGGGTCTTCATCAGCTCGAGACTTGACCTTGAAACTCAAGCTCGAGAAATTAGCTTGAGATATTTTGCTCAGCGTTCGCGCGTATAGTGCAAGCCTTCGGGATATTTTGCTCAGCATTCGCGGATATAGTGCAAGTCTTCGGGCTGGTGAAGACGCACCGGTCAAATAGCGGGATATTTTGCAAACTAGCCCAAGATGTCTTTGGATGATCTCGACCAAATATCCTGCAAATTGCAACTTTGAGCTGATGAAGACCCAAATTAACTGGATAATTTGTGAACGGGATAGTTCAAATAGCGGGATATTTGGCGATCTCAAGCTGATGACGACAGGCCTATTGTAGCTCAGGAAGCTCAGGAAGCTGAACTGGAATGGTAGGTGATGTGGGTAACGGCAAGGAGTGCCAAGAAGTGCAGAAATGGTGTTTGGACAAAGAACTTGATTATCAATTTTTAGTAAAATATTTTAAGTCCAGTGCAAGTAAAAACCATGAGAGCCTACAGGAGGCTACATCATTCTAATGAATATGAAGGGTAAGACAACATGAAAATGCGTTATTTATCATGCTATCATACATTTAGCTATGTCATGAGCTATGTCTTTTGTTTCCTTTTAAACGTGTTTTGAGAAACCATATAAAACTGTAGGTTAAATACCTTTTTGCATCGACTGCTGAGCCTGGTAGATGGTTCCAAAACCTTATTGTTCTTGGATAGTAGGAAACCTTGGCAGCACAATACAATACAAGGCAGTAATGGCGTCATTGGGGTCGGTCACATGGGGTCGGTGTTGCGATGTTGCCCGTCTGCCATAGCTCAGAAATGGTTGCACTGTGTACACAGACCGTGTCAGAAAGCGATCTTTAACCGCAAGTGAGTGTTTTTTTGGCGGGAAAGTAATGAAAGAGAGAAAGAAATTACAGTACACAAATAAAAACAGAGAATCATAAAAGGAATAATGGGGAGAAAATGATAGAATGATACAAACAATGAATAACATAAGAGAAGTTGATAGAAGGAAGAAACAAAAATAACACAAGGAAAGACGTAAAGAGAAAGTGATAGAATGATAAAAACAAAGAATAACATAAGAGAAGGTGATAGAAGGAACTCAAGGAAGAAACAAAAATTAACATAAGGAAATACAGGAAGAGAAAGTGATTGAATGATAAAAACAAAAGAATAACATAAGGAAAGACAGAAAGAAAAAGTGATAGAATGATGCTAACGATGAATAACATAAGAGAAGGTGATGAAAGGAAGAAACAAAATTTAACATAAGGAAAGACAGAAAGAGAGAAAATAATGAACTTAATAAAGATTAGATAATGGAACGGTAGAAGAGAAGTAAAAGATAAAAATACAAAGAATAATATAAGAAAAACAGAAAGAGAAAATGATACAAGGAAAACAGAATAACATGACGAAAGGTAGAAAGAAAAAAAAAGATAAAATGATAAAAGAAGAATAACATAAGTGAATAAAGGAAAAACAAAGAATGACATAAGGAAAGACAGAGAGAGAAAATGATAAATAATAGTAAATTAAAAGATAGGAAAGAAGTGGAAAGATGGAAAAACAAAGAATAACATTTAAAAAAACAGAAAAAGAAATGACAAAAAATAACAAAATATAACAGAAGATAATAATAATAATAATAATATTTAATTTTTATATAGCGCTTAATACAAATGTCTCTAAGCACTCAATTCTGTTTTAAATTCTGCGTGAATCATTTGACCCGCTGACCTTTGCTACCCAGCAACAGGAGCAGTTTAGCTCATTTGCGCTATACTATAGCAACAAGAGCGGTCTAGCTCGTGAGTTTGAACATAAAACGAAGCGAACTTCTGGAGCGATCCACTGGATCGGTCTAGCCTTGATCGATCTAGGAATGAGTGAGAAGGGGGTCTGAGAAAGACACCTGTATGAGAGATAAAGAGAGGGAGAGAGATGCACAGAGAGAAAGTAGTCCCAAGTCTAGCAAAACATTTTTTAATCTACTCTCCAGTTCATTTTAGAAGGAGTATATATACAGAGGTCCACGTCATCTGCGTGGTAAATCCTGACAGATGATTGGACCTTTTATCTTTCTTTCTTTCCTTGGATATATGTACAGCCTGTCATCTAGTGCCGTGTTGGAAACAGGTATTGTGACCGTATATATCCATTTAATTTTCTTTTGTTCATGTAAGCTGCATGGAATAGAGAGCTGAAAGAGAGCTTAGCGCATGCACAACTTGATAATACAAGGAAGTGATTTCAGGAACTATTACAGGCATGCATGCAAATGCATGATGTATAAAACATTTGCTGTGCTCTTTTTGTTAGGCTGTATTACAGTGAGTGGAACCTGACTTTACTGCTTATTATATTGATGTATTGTATACAGAAAAAGACTTGCCATTGCATTTACAAGCAAATCATTATCACGATCCTATTTTTGTCTTTCTATATATGGTATGGTATGGTATGGTATTTATTGAATAATGCATCGCAGGATATACTGAATTACACATGGATATTCAATATTCATTGCATTTTAAAAGCATTTTAAAAACAATTGTACAATAAACTGGTATCATTTACATAATTATAAGTACATGGATATATCACATGTTTATCCTGATTTTTGTACCAAATGTACATTAAAATATTAGCAAAATTACAAACAAGAAGGAAATAGGGAATATGTACCTAAATAAAATGATAGTGAGGAAGAGAGAAGGAAAAGATGTGGAAAAAAGAGGTTAACAAGGGAGAGAGAGGTCCAGCGGGAAGGTAAAAGAGAAAGAGAGGATAAGAGACCGAGAGATATAGTGAAGAAAGAGAAAGAGCAGGAAAGAGAGCGAGATGGAGAAAGAGAGAGGAAAGAGAGAGAGAGAGAGAGAGAGAAAGAAAGAGGAAGAAAGAATCAAATTCTTGATTTATATTCTTTCTTCCTATCCATGAAACAGAAGTAGTTGATATTGTGTCGAATATGGATCCAAAAAAGTGCAGGATATGATGGTATCTCAAATTTTCTTCTTAAAAAAGTCGTCCACAAAATAGTTTCCCCTTTAACTCATATTTTTTATATATACCATTGCTAAACGGTATTGTCCCTTGTAAAATGAGACTTGCAAAGTTTATCTCAATTTTCAAAAAAAAGAAACAAAGCGGAGTTAGGAAATTATAGACCAATATCTATGTTGAAAACTTTTTCAAAATTACTTCAAAAAATTGTATATACCGTACCATTAAAGGTAATACAAAGTTTTGGTATGAGTTTTGAATTTGGTTTGAATGAACATATTGGAAGCATATGCGATTTACAATATTAATGATCGTTATTGCGATTGAAATCGAGTCTAAAGTGATGAAATGATAAATAATAAACTCTTTATCTTGTATAGCTTCCGCTCAAGACTGATATTACTTTAGCTTTGAAACAATGTTTATTGGCTACAATCGACCGATTTGCTATTCCTGTTTGGAAAATGTTCATTAGAACTGCATATTCTGAGATTTTCATGGTCGCAGCTACCATGGAATGGCCTAAGGCGCGATGTGACATATCTGAAATTTACCGGGAGCACCATTAAAAGCAGAAGTGTTTTCGGGGCTTAATTTATCAAAAAATCAACATATCAACATTTTAAAGGCTCACTGCACTACTTGTAGCTACTTGCGCCCTCTATATAACAAACAATGCCTAATCGGTGACTATTGGTCCCCCATGATCCTCTTTTTCTTATGTTAACTGAGAGCTGAGTTGATGAGATAACCACCTGTCCAGTGACCTTGCAGGGCAGTCTAATCCCTCCTGTAAACTACGGCAGATAAGCTTTAAAGAATTACTTTCCATCCAATTTTCAAAATTTCCCAAAACTTTGCATTACCTTTAAGTTCCTTACTGGATGTATTATTTTGACAGATCACCAGTTAGGTTTTCAACAAAAGCACTCAACCATGCACGCTATTTTATTATTGATTGATGAAGTAGCCAAGGCCGTCGATTATACATGTAAGTCACACACGGTTGGTATTTTTCTGGACTTCTCTAAGGCCTTTGACACTATTAGTCATGAGATTTTACTATATGAACTTGCCTATTATGGCATTCGAAGAACCGCCCTGGAGTGGTTCAAAAATGATCTTACCAACAGAACCCAATTTGTTTCTATTAATGATTGTAACTCAAGTATTGGATCAATAACTTGTGGGGTACCACAAGGCTCTTTTTGGGGCCCGCTTTTTATTATCTATATAAATGACTTCATAAATTCATCCATGGTTCTTTCTAAATTTTGCAAACGACTGAAGCATTTTCTGCTCAAATCCCAATCCTAGAATTCTTCTTGATTCCCTGAATTTTGAATTGCTTTTTGTTGTTTAATGGATACAAGCAAACAAATTGTCTGGTTTTGACTGGCGGTTAAACGGAATTGGAGATATCTGTGATGTTACAGCACTAGTAATAAACATTTGATTCTTAATGATACATGTACATGTACCCTGTTTACTCTCACTCTCTCAATGCAAAATTTTCATCTGATTAAATACACTGTAGGATAGGAGTGAACTCATTTGATATTGCTCTTTAAAAAGGATCTTTCCTTAGCACTTTACATACAGGTAAAATGAGATACCTGTTGCATCAAAGCTGTGTACACATGTATACACACCATGAACTCTGTGATAGAACAACGCTGAGCAGCTACCGGTATGTGTGCGAGTGTGTTGCCTGACTCTCTCTTTCTCTGTCTCTCTCTACCTACCTATCTATAATGGATCTGCGCAAGAGCAACGTGTGCTTAGTGGAGCATTGAGACGAAACGCTATAAAAGCCTGGTACCCGCCCACCAATGCATATCACTCTAATCTAGATAGTCAGCTGTAGTGGACCTATGCTATATCTCTCTTATTATTGACACACCATGCAGGCATGCATGCACTCTACGCAGTTCATATCAACTAATTGTTATTACTACCAATGCCTTTCATCGGGAGCTTGTGAATCCTAGCCTATATAACCTTACAGGATATAAACACAATTTTGTGCGTGTATGAGAATATCAGACTCTCATAGAGTCATAGTTTGACTCCACATCATGTGATTTTGTACTATGGTGGAATTGATCAAAACGTGTGATTGGATAATTCAGAAGCGTGGTTGATTGAGCAAGAATAGTGTACGTATGATCATGGACCCTATTGACTAGCTTTACAAGACGTGTGCATAGTTTATCAGGTAACGTTGATACCAATTTGATATTTTCTTAATAGATTACAATATTCTTTATCAGTTGTGTCAATTACACGTACTGTCAATCATTAATCCATAGTAATATCATTGTCATACTCATATTTTGTGTTGGCTATACAGTACTATGTACATAATGAATCCCTATCATTTGCTAAAGGCATTAAACTTTGCTACCACTCAAGTTGTTTATGTTTGGTGTTCAGTTTAAATAATAGGTTCAATTGTTTAGTGACTGATTGATTGTTTGATAGACATATTGATTTATTGATTACATAATATCTTGATTGACTGATAGATGATTGGTAATGTTTGCGTGCTTGATAATTGAAATTCATTATAAGATTGATAATATTGATTGAATGATTGATTTTCTTATTGATTTTCTTAGTGATTAATTTATATTGATAATTAATTTACAGATAAGATAAGGCGAAGAAGAAAAAAAAATCATTGATTATAAGATTATGTTTTTGTATAAAAAAAGAAGAAGATTTACTAGTATTGCTGGTGTTACTTGTAGTTTGTCTCACAGAGGTGTTGTTTGACTGACTGACTGATTGATTGAATGATTGGTTAGTGGATTGATATATTGAATGCTTGATTGAATGATTGGTTAGTGGATTGATATATTGAATGCTTGATTGAGTTGATTTATTAATCCACTGTTGTGCCAATCATTTAGCCACCTGGCTCATTAAATGTTTGATTATTATGCTGATCAGTTGACTCTTGATTAGAATAACTGGAATGCTCCTCAGGGAGTAGAGAATATGCACTGGAATGTACATAATAGTAATTGAATCCAGTAACCAGGGTAATAAACTAATTATACTACTTCAAGGGCTTTGGTCAGTTAATGGTCCAGTGTTTATAAGAAACAAGTCTTATTATTGTATCCCCTGGCAATATGCTGGAGGGGTACTTTAAATTTAGGGGTACTCTAACTGCCACATACCTTGAAGGATTTCTTTCAAATTTTGTATGGAGGTGTATCTTGGGCTGCGTTTAAGCTCAATTTTGAAGGCAGAATGAGCGATATGAAACGCTCATCGTAATCGCAGTTCCACGGTGTACTGTTTATGCTCACTTCTCTGGCTCCTCCAGGCAATTCTTGCTGGGTGGCCCTAATTGGTCTTGCAGCTGGATTCGCAAACCTGCACTGTGCATGCTACGTAGACCCATTAGAGGTCAGTGCGTTGACCCCATTTAAACGCGTTTGCAAATTGTAAACGCACCTTTTTGGGAGTTTACGATCAGCGATCGTGATCGCCGTTTTTCGGTGATTCTACGAAAGTGAGAAAGGACGCAACCATGTTTTAAACTAAACGCGTAACAGATGCCCGATTCTGGCCAGAAAAAGTTGAGCATAAACATGCCCTTGGTATAATCTACACATCTTTAGTGTTTGGTGATGCTGCCACCTGTGTTCGTCTATTATAGGGTCAAACGTCATATTTTGGTGGGTGTCTAGTATGCGCTCTGCAGGTCATATTTCATGACGGATTTCTTTCAAATTTAGTATGGAGTTGTATATATCTTGGTAAAATCTACACATCTTCACTTTGGGCGATGCTGCCCTCATTGTTCCGTCTTATATATGGTCAAAGGTAATATGTCTTTTGTGTGCTCCAACTGCCACATTTCTTGAAGGATTTTTTCCAAATGCTATATGGAGGTGTGTCTTGGTAAAATCTACACATCTATAGTGTTTGGTGATGCTGCCACCTGTTTCCCTTCTGTTATAGGGTCAAAGGTCATACTTTGGTGGCTGTCTTTTGTGCGCTGTGACTGCCTATTTTCTACAGAGATGCATTATACTCTAATCTACACACATATTGTTTTGGTGATACTGCTCCTAGTCTTGACAATAGTCCGAGCCACTAGTGGCGATCTCTACGTCATCCTTTTCTTTCAGGGAGGGGAGAGAGAATCTTTGTCCCACCTTCAAACATAAGGATGACACAAAAATTGCTGCCACTGCCGGGGGATACATTCGCATTGCGCGGCAATACAGATTGTAATATTTCTAGTTAATAACAGGAACTTTTACTGAATTCAGTGTTTAAAACTGAACTTAATGATTTTTTTTATTGATTGAATTTTGACCAAAATTGTATGATATTTAGCTGTACATCATCTGCTGAAAGCCAGAAAGGCATTTATCTGTATTAAGAATATACAAATTTACATATAATTTAAAAACATTATGTCCATCATGTAGCCTGCTGCTCTGAGCAGGTAACTCTTAAAAGGTAACATGTTACATTTAGACAAGCATTGCAAGTTTTTAGCATGTGAATAGTAAAAATTGTGGGGAAAATGGATTCCATTTGAAAATACCGGTATAAGGTTCATATAATATAGATACTTCTAAGCAGAAGTCGTCCCTATTTTCAAGAAGTGACGGTAGTGAATGAAAATCGCATTCACTTTGTGTGCGGATTTTCCTCACTACCGTCACTTCGTGAAAACAGTGACGAAGTGTTGTAAAAGTAACATTGCTCTTATCTATCAAAGAAGGTCATCAAAACAAATGTTGCACATTTTTGTTGTGCTGTTTTTTCACATTTTGAGATTTTTAAAATTTTTATTTGCCTGACAAATTTATTCTACTTTTAAAGGTGATACAAAGTTTTGGTATGGGGTCATGAATTTGGTTCAAATGAACATATTGGAAGCATATATGCAATTTAATAACATTCAATGATCGTTGTCGCGATTGATATCGAGTCTCAAGTGATGAAATTGTGAATAATAATCTCTTTATGTTGTATAGCGCCCTCTCAAGACTGATATTACTTTAGCATTAAAAAATGTTTCTAGACAACTATCGACCGATTTGCTATTCCTGTTTGGAAATTACATATCAGAACTACATATTCTGAGATTGTCATAATCGCAGCTACCATGGAATCGCCTTAGGCGCTATTAGAGACATTTGAAATTTACCGGGAGCACCGGTAAATATTTGATTATTCAATTTCTCGAAAGCAGAAGTGTTTCAGGGGCTAAATTTTCTAGTGCTTATAATACATCCACAGGGGCATCAAAATAGATCAAAATCGTAAAAAATAACTATCCATCCAATTTTCAACATTTCCCAAAACTTTGCATTACCTTTAATAATGTCAAAATCAAATTGCAAGCTACAATGACCACTTGCTTTTATGATTGCTCTTTCTAAACAGTTGTTTTGTTTTGTATTTCTTTAGATGTTGACCTACATTGGGAGCTGTTGGAGAAGAGTCATGAATTGTTAACCAGTTACGTGAGAGAATAGTGAATCAGGTAAGGGTCAATTTCGATTTTCAGACCTTTTTATGTCCTGCTTTATTATTTAGCTGTAGAGGCTATCAAATGATTAACATTTTTTTTTCTAGCCGCCCCCTCCCCCCAAGAAAAATAAAAAGGAAGAAAAAAGACCAAATTATATGGACAAGTACATTTGCAATATAGGACTTAAATGATGGAAAGGAGAATTTTCATGCTTCAAATCCTCAGCTTTTATTAGGTCACACATTTTTGACGTACGTGTACCTAACATTTTTTCGAGTGATAATGACAAAAAGTGAGTAAGTAAATTTTCTAGTTTCCAGGGTAATGTGTACATAGTTTAAAGGTATTACAAAGTTTTGGTATGGGGTCATGAATTTGGTTCAAATTAACATATTGGAAGCATATGCGTTCCTACAATATTCATTGATCGTTGTCGCGGTTGAAATCGAGTCTAAAGTTATGAAATTATAAATAATAAACTCTTTATGTTGTATAGCTCCCTCTCAAGGTCAAGATATTAATTTAGCTATGAAACAATGTTTCTTGACTAAATTCGACCGATTAGCTATTCCCGTTTGGAATTATATATCACAATTACATATTCTAAGATTTTCATGGTTGCAGCTACCATTGCACGGCCATAGGCGCTATTTGAAATTTATCAAAATTTACCGGGAGAACCGGTAAATTTTTATATTCAATTTTTCTCAAAAACAGAAGCGTTTTAGAGGCTAATTTTGATAGTGCTTATAATACATGCACAGGTGCATCCAAATATATCAAAATTGTAAAGATTCACTACCCACCCAATTTTCAAAATTTCCCAAAACTTTGTATTACCTTTAAAAAGCACCTAATGAAAACTGTTCAAATTTAAAGCATGAAAATTGTCTCACCTTTTATGACATCATCTTATTATGCCAACACGTGGACTTGATATCAGATAAGTATAGGACATGTTATACTGTCTTAATACACTCACTTGAAAAGAGTCGTATATTAAAGGGATCATTTCATTTGGGGTGGGAATCCACTTGTGAGTGAGTCATGTAAGGGATCATCTCATTTGGAGTGGGAATCCACTTGTGAGTGAGTCATGTAAGGGATCATCTCATTTGGAGTGGGAATCCACTTGTGAGGGAGTCATGTTAGGGATCATTTCATTTTGAGTGGTAATCCACTTGTGAGTGAGTCATGTAAGGGATCATTTCATTTTGAGTGGTAATCCACTTGTGAGTGAGTCATGTAAGGAATCATTTTATTTGGAGTGGTAATCCACTTGTGAATGAGTCATGGAAGGGATCATTTCATTTGGGGTGGGAATATACTTGTGAGTGAGTCATGTAAGGAATCATTCCATTTGGAGTGGGAATCCACTTGTGAGGGAGTCATGTAAGGGATCATTTCATTTGGAGTGGGAATCCACTTGTGAGTGAGTCATGTAAGGGATCATTCCATTTAGAGTAGTAATCCACTTGTGAGTGAGTCATGGAAGGGATCATTTCATTTGGGGTGGGAATCTACTTGTGAGTGAGTCATGTAAGGAATCATTCCATTTGAAGTGGGAATCCACTTGTGAGGGAGTCATGTAAGAGATCATTTCATTTGGAGTGGGAATCCACTTGTGAGTGAGTCATGTTAGGGATCATTTTATTTTGAGTGGGAATCCACTTGTGAGTGAGTCCTGTAAGGGATCATTCCATTTAGAGTGGTAATCCACTTGTGAGTGAGTCCTGTAAGGGATCATTCCATTTAGAGTGGTAATCCACTTGTGAGTGAGTCATGTAAGGGATCATTCCATTTAGTGTGGTAATCCACTTGTGAGTGAGTCATATTGGGATTCCATTTGGAGTGGGAATCCACCTGTGAGGGAGTCATGTAAGGGATCATTTCATTTGGAGAGGGAATCCACTTGTGAGGGAGTCATGGAAGGGATCATTTTATTTTGAGTGGGATTCCACTTGTGAGGGAGTCATGGAAGGGATCATTTCATTTTGAGTGGGAATCCACTTGTGAGTGAGTCATGTACAGTGTAAGGGATCATTTCATTTGGAGTGGAAATTCACTTGTGAGTGAGTCATGTAAGGGATCATTCCATTTGGAGTGGGAATCCACTTGTGAGGGAGTCATGTAAGGGATTATTTCATTTGGAGTGGGAATCCACTTGTGAGTGAGTCATGTAAGGGATCATCTCATTTGGAGTGGGAATCCACTTGTGAGGGAGTCATGTAAGGGATCATTTCATTTGGAGTGGGAATCCACTTGTGAGGGAGTCATGTCAGGAATCATTCTATTTAGAATGGGAATCCACTTGTGAGTGAGTCATGGAAGGGATCATTTCATTTGGAGTGGAAATCGACTTTTGTGGGAGTCATATGTTTCATTCACTGAATCATAACTGTCTATCTAATTTTCTTGGCTTTTTTCCATTGAGTTTGTTAGGCTTGATTTACCTGTATTTGGCCTAAAAATGTTGCGATCAAATTCAGGTTTTCACTCAAAAACAAAAAGAGGGTCATAAGTGCTAGAGACAAAAGCAGCACTGAATTAATCTGGCGTTTCGTAACTCTTATACAGTGTGAGTCAAAAAAAAGTTTACACTTAGAAAATTGCTAATTATTTTAAAAATCATCGATGAACATTAAATTGATATATGTCTTATGAAAGAGTGTTTTATCCCAAATCATTTGGTACAATTTTTGTGTGGTATGTGTTTACGCTTGGATGAACAGGAGACATTGTTTGCGAGAGTGCACACATCGACTTGTGCCAAAGTTGCCTATGTGATGTTTGAATAAAACAATTGGGAGTTTATTAATTCGGTCTTTGCAGATCCAAATAACATCCCTAACAAAATTAATTATGCCACACATATCAAATATCGAATATCAAATATCAACGAACATTTGTGTGCGTGTGTGTGGGTGTGTGTGACTTTGCCCTTTGCAAAAAAACTTATGCAATGCATTTCATTTGATACATTCAATCCATTCTCTCACTCCGCTAATCCCAACATAATACATACTGTAGGCATCACTTTGGCGCAAGTTGATTTTTGCACTCTCGCAAACAATGCCACCAGTTCATCCAAGGGTGAACACATACCACACAAAAATGGTACCAAATGATTTGGGATAAAACACTCTTTCATAAGATGTATAATAATTTACTGTTCATAGATGATTTTAAAAATAATTAGCAATTTTCTAGGTGTAAACTTTTTTCTGACTCGCACGGTAGTATAGTTACAAAACCAAAATGAAATGAAGAAAGAAATGCATATTATATAATTTCATAATGGTGCTGTTCTAACACCTACATGTTATATATCTAGGTGGGATAGCAATAGCACACTTTGCTGCTATTTACTTTGTTCAACAATTAACCCAGATGTCTCTGTGAACTTTGGTTATACAAAAAATGCATGCTGTACATTCATCATCATTCACATTGGCAAAGAGAAGACAATGCCATGCTATATCATTTTGTGTCGGTCACACTTTAGGGGACTTCTATTTATAAACTACATGCACATTTAAAAATGTGTTGGTAACATCTTTGAAAATCGATAACGAAAACAATGAAATCAGCCTATCATGAAAAATGGTTTGGACCTGGAAGAAATCATTGCTGAATAATTAGCATGAACCAATGAGCAGTTGGGCACCATGCATTTTCTACTGGCGTCGTTGATGTGCAGGCCAGCCATTGAAGTTATCGCTTCTTCTCTCCCTGGCTTCAAATTCTCTTTCTCTTCTTCCTAATTCCATGCACTTTAATGCACATTGCAATTTACAACAATGTTGTGTTAGGTGATTTTGGTTCTTTAATACCAGCACATTTTCATGTAATTTACCAACATGTGTTTGGTACAAAATGTTGCTTTAGCATAATGTAGTAGCACAATATGCTCAATAGTAGGAATTCATATCTTTATCACATACATGTACATGTACATGTAGAGGTACTGTACATGTAGAAGCAATTGTAAGGATATACATTAATCATAATCATATGCTAATGAATTCCTCTCTCATATTATTTCAGATTATCAATGTTTGAAATGACTCTGTGGCCATTTCCTCATAAAACTACATGTACATATATGCATATCATTTATTACGAATGAAAACAGAAAAATCTAAACAAAATAACCATCTCAAAATTCAATGCTGGAAAAGGGTTCAATCCGCCCAAATTCTTGTAGATGTATTTAATTGTACATCTAGAGACAAGGCCTTTCTCTCTCCAAACAGACGATACATCTTACATGTACATGTGTAGTGTGAATAAATCACATTGTCTATCTTTGAAAATATCAAATCATATTTATAGTTTGATCCTATATGGAACAAGGTATTCAGTGAGATGGGGGAAACAAAAAACTAAAACCAACCTTGGTTACATGTACCTCTGGTAAGGCATTAATCCTCATTACCAAGTCCGTCGAGGAGGACCTAAATCCGGCGGCCGTCTGGTTGCTTACTAACAAGCATTTATGCTTTCTTAGCATTCAGGTAGAAATAACCTCCACTAAAAACCACTTAAGATATTTAATCATAACTGATTCAATCAGAGCTTGTTATATTCGCGCCTTGTTTCTTTTACTTTCTGTTTATATTGTTCAATTTCGGCTTTCTGTTTCATTGAGTATGGCTCTTTTCATGAAAGTGTATGTGAACTCTGTGGCACCCCCAGGGCTAATAATTAAAAGTCATATACATTAGCTAATCTATATTTGATGATTCAGGAACATACATGTACTTTTACCAGAGACAACAGCATAAGTATTGATTGAATGAAAATAATTGTTACTTTGTACATGGATATGTTCTATTAAAATGAATACCGGGTATCCATGTGTGTGTTACACATACTTGTACGTTTGTTTGAAATGTCAATAATATTACATTCTCCACATGTATGTTTTTGCAGCGATCAAACACAGGGATGTGTACTTTTGTGCATTTTCCGTTAAAACATACATCATGTTATATCACAATCAATAGGAG